GACTTTGCGTCGTCGACAACGACTGTTTGCCGCCTGTTTGTCAGATACGCCTCTGTCCATTGAAGTAGCTGGTCGTTTTTGAGAATGGGTTTAAGTTTTAATAGCAACTTTTGATGGGATACACGGTCAAAGGCCTTTTCAAAATCCAAAAATATTATGTCAATTTGACCTTGGCTGTCCAGTGTTGCCGCAATTTCATGTACGGTTTCCAGTAGTTGCGTTACGGTTGACATTCCGCGACGGAAGCCGTGTTGACGTGTGTCGCAGAGGCCATTATTTTCAATGAAGACTGAAATGTGCTTAAATATAATGTGCTCCATCAGTTTCGATGAGGTACAAAGAAGAGAGATAGGGCGGTAGGAGGACAGCAGTGAGCGGTCCTCTGATTTAGGGATGGGAATAATCTTTGCATGCTTCCAGTCGTGTGGTATTTCTGCACGTGAAAGTGATTTGTTGAAAATAATGCACAGATATTTGGCGCACCATTCCGCATATCTCCGGAGGAAAGCATTAGGTATTTCATCGACGCCTGGCGATTTTTTCACGTCAATGCCAAGAAGCAAGGACAGTACTCCCGCTTCGTTTATGTCGAGGGAGCTTATGGGCGGAGTAGCGTCTAGAACAGATATGCGTGGTATCTTGCCATCATCACTCGTGAACGCGGAGCAGAAGTACTCGTTCAGTGCATTTGCAATTCTGAGTTTGTCAGTCAACATGATACCATCAACACAAATATCAGACACGTGGGTCTTCTTTGGCGATAGATATCTCCAGAACTTATCCGGGGATGACTCAAGAAAGTTTTTCAGTGATACATTTTGATAGTGATCTTTAGCTTTTAATATGCCGTTTTTAAGCTGTCGGCGCAGGTTGGTTAGCTTATCAGAGTTTGCTTTTGATGGTCGTACCGTATGCTGCTTTCTCACTTTTTTTAATTTTCGCCCAAGACGCACAAGGTTTCTTGTCATCCACGGATTCGTTTCACACACATATTTTCGCTTTTTGGGCACAAAATTGTCGATACAGTTGTGAACAAGTTTTTTAAAGAAGCACCATAAGCTATGAACAGAGCCATCATGTGATTCCGAAAGACATACATACATACATACTTAGGCTGCATGAAAGGCGCAAAGCTCGCAAACTCAGGAAAAATGTTTTCAAATTCTGTCTACTCATCAATATAATAGTCATTATTACGGTAGAAGGGGGGAGGGGAGGCTTGCAGATTCCGAGCTACGAAAACTTTGAAATCAAAGTGAAATATTTTGCACCTGTCGTCTTACTCTGATGTGTGGAGAGCATTGACACTACACACAATATAATATATAGATGTCTCTGAAGAATGTTTTAGTACACCTTTAAGGCAACCGATTTAGGCAATCCCATGTGAGTACGTGATGCCCTTCTTGGCTACTTTACAATCAGCCTATTCATCCTGCTCTAGAACGCACCGAAATCCTACAAGTTCTGGTGGTAACAAAATAAACTATTTGGAACCGTATCACATAATTGAAAACTTACGATCTTAGTTTACTATTGCAGTGAAAATGGGTCGGTGATACAAGCCTTGGTGCGTGTGAAAACTGGCTTGAGACCGAGTCGAATGTGAATTGAAGAATGGCAGAACCCAGTCGCACGATACAACATATCGAATAACTTTCAAAATTTAGATAACTGCGTCTAAAACGCTTCGCTATTCATAGTCTTAGCATTGAATGCGTAAACTGAACTTCAGTAACACAAAAAAATATAAGGGAGCTCTTAGTATTCACCTGGACTAGAACTCAGTCTTTTTCGCCTCAAATCTAGAGCACCCAAGTATGCTCTTCTCCAACCAATTGCAAACTTCACATCTTTAAATAATGGATAAAAAACGCCAACAACGTTACGAGGGCCTACCAGTCATCACTCATCGGTCTATTCCAGGAACGTATCCAACTCCGCGTCTCTTCTCCGTTCATCTGCTCTTTTTTTTCCTCTCTTTTTGTCGGCATTCTTTTCACCTCGTGACGGTCGAGGGAGAACAACCTTATTTTATTTTTATTCCTCTGGAAGCGAGAAAAACAACACTTGAGACGAGGCGAGGCGGCTAGGCGTCGCCATCGACTATTCATAGAAAGGTCAGGTTGAACGACCAGAAAAAGGTGAAGTAGCGAGAGGGACTGGAATGTCAACGGTATCACGTGTGCATCGGCTGTGGTTTCTTTGTCTTGGGCATCAGCCTGCTTATGACCCGACGCTGGCTACCCCGTTTCTCCGTGTGGGATAGCAAACCACGTACAAACTGGGTCTTCTTAGGCTTGTTGGTTCATGGCTTCTGCAGAAAAAACAATTGTAGCGCGAAATAACACACAGAAGTACAAAGTGCGCCTGCCCGGTGTTTTTTTTCTTTGTTTTTCTTCCCTGCGTATAACTTTGTGCTACAATTTTCTTTGGAAGTGAGGTATACAACTTTTTTATCTCTCTATTTTCGTTTGACAACCGCCTGAGTAGCAGTGCGTGCGTGAAGTAAACACAGATCAGTCAACTGGTCGTTGCCTCCACGCATGCAGCGCTGTCCAAGGAACCCAGATTTTACTGTAGTTCGTTATTCGCTACGAATAACGTCGTAGCACTGGACCCGCCGTGGTGCTTTTGTGGTCATGCTGCTCACCTGCTGCAGGTCGCGGGGTCGATATCCCGGACGCGGCGGCCGCGTTATTGGTGGAGGCGAAAACGCCGGAGGCCCGGGTAGTTAGGTTTAGGTGCACGGTAAGGGAACCATAGATGGTCGAATATTTCGGAGCCCTCCACTACTCTCGCAGTCAGATCGTGATTATGGGACGTAAAACACTGAAATCGTTATAATAATTATATTAGTCGTAACGCTGAAATGCCTGAGTCTTTCGCGTCGTGGTTTTTAGTGCTATAACGTCATGTATAGCGCTTTCTAGTACGTAGACTTGTGTAGATGCGGTTGCTAAAGCATAAAATATTCGACAAGTTCCATAAGAACGCATCGTTGCGTAAGCGCTGGCGTCTGTGTGTTTCGGAAAGTAGGAGATCATGCGGCATGTTTTGTAGTCCTGCGTAGATATAGCAGCTGGGTGAGGCACACACGCGACGATACCTTTGTAAGGTTGGACAAGAGTAGAACCCCAAGTGCAGTATGTGTCAGACGTCAGAGACTATTTACCACTCTTATGCGTATGCCCCGAAGGCGCGATTGAAAGGTAGCCACTTAAGTGCTTCGTAGATCATCAGGATTCTCGACCCCTCGCGAATAGTCGAGAATTTACGTGTTTCCGACTTCCCAACTTGGTTTAAATTGCTTATTGAGATGTCTAAGCGAGACAATTTTAGTTGCTCGTGAGTATATAGAGCAATTGAGTTCGATGGTGTGAAAACTTCCGCGCGTGTCCCGTCCTGGTGCAGGTTGGTTGTGTCATCATACCCTCTCCTCTTTCATCCCCTTATACGCTTTGAGGTATTGTGAAGCGCGAAACACACAACATACACTAGTAGAACTAGGGAGCAGGAGCGGTCACTTTAAGACAATATTTTTTTACAGAAAATTGCCATGTTTTATCGCCCACCAAAAGGCAACAGCAGCAGGGAAACACATGTGTGAAACCACGAACCTACAAATGATGAGTATAGCACCTCAATTAAACCAAAACAAGAAGCGAAAGCTACCCAATGCGCACGAAGTTCACAAGCACTCGTCCTTTCCAGTTCTCCTGGTGTATATTGTGTGTTTTAGGCATCCAAGTACCTTCATGGATCGCGCAACATTTTGTTTACCGCCAGAGGAGCAGTAGGCTAGAAACTTGCTTTTCAGGCCGATTTCATCATCCTTCACGTCATTAGACATCAATTTCTTAGTAGTCACACTAAGACGTGGTGAAGTTTTGGCAATACGCCAGTCATTTTTTCGGACACCTATGGATCTACTTGCAGGAGCGTTAAGCTCCCGGCGAAGCTGTCTGCTGGGGTCAGTGGATATCGCATGGCCCCTTGCCTATTGAGCTGCTACCACGGTTTTGTGGTAACCTTGAACATTTTGTCTCTCTGAAAGTCTTGAGGCCAGACACGCCGACTAACTGCTGCAGCTGAACGTCACAGCACGCAGTTCCTTATCGTTGTATGAAACCTCCCAACCAAGCAAGCAATAATAACGAAAACGCCGCTATTGCGTTTCAGGAATCTATAAGCGCCTTTAGATGAGTAATTTTAATCAGGTTTTGTGTGAGGATCTAAAATAATTGGGAGGGCGGGTACCGGCCGGTTGTCCGGCCGGCTTGTAGTAACGCCGCTCCTGTCAGTCTGGATATACGGAAACCTACTCTCGTGATATTTTCACAAATTTAGCGGCGTTTTTTATCTCGCGGTCATCTGTTGCTATTAAAAGTACCTTTAATTAAAGATTATAATGTCATTAAAAACGTCTTTATTTTCTTGGATAGACCACAGTCAAATGTAGTGAACAATAGATTCCCTAACTCAATCTTTCTGCATTGACCATTTGCAACGGTGCTTGTTATCACCACGACACTATGTGGCTACGTTTTGATCTGTTGGTGAAGAAAACGGGACGCCACAAGCAGGCACGCAGACGACCACAGTTTCACACAGCACACTTTTTTAAGCGCGTGAAGTCGGAAATAATTAAGAAAAAGTAAATATACTTTAAAGCCAGGTATAGACAGGACCCTCTTCTTTATACTGTCCCGACTTTTTAGAGACAATTCTGGCACCTTAGCGTACTAAACTCCTGAGTGCCGTGTGTATAAGAATTGGTTCCTGCGTCGACTTCTTGCGACCCTTTAAGATACAGCTCACTTCGTGTGCAAGAAACTTCATAAAGCTCAGTTGATTAATATCACAAGCAATAGTTACTTGGGCGTTTCTAACCAAGTTCGTTCGAACTAACACGAACAGCGCACCTTTCATTAGTTCAAAACGAATAGGTTTCCACTGCGATCTTTTGTGCTTCGCTTTACAAACAAGGACATCCTCACCTTCTTCAACGGCGGTGTGGAGAGTACCATTTCTTCTAAGGGATCAGCACCGGTCGACCAGAAAGGGCTTCGAATCTAGGCACGGGGCACAGCGTTCGGTTCCGCACCCAAGGGGTATACCGCCGTTAACCGCACAGCACTACGCACACCAGCGAGTATAGAGGATGACTGCCGATCGCGGCTTCGAGCTTGGCACAAGCTCTGTGACGCCGGGTTTGGCAGAAGACGCGAAAACGAACTTTCTCGAAAAATTGCGCCCACGCTGCAAAAGTGGTGAAGGCAGTGCAACAGGCTCACGTGTCCCGCTCGGTCCGAGAGGAGAAAGCAGGATGATACGACGACGGGGGAAGACGAAAGAACCGCGGTGGCGCAGTGTCCGGAGCCAAAAATGCTGCTGGCAGTGCGAAGGCCCTGCGACGAATTGCGTTTCGGAAACTCCCCCAGCCCAGTCAGCCAGCCAAGCCGCACCAAGCAACGAACCAACCCGACCGGGGCTCGCGCAACTACGCACGCTTCCCAGAGTCCTCTAGCGCCAGGCCACTGCACAGCGCGCGCGTCCCTCGTCGCAGCCACCGCGAGGGGGGAGTCCGAACTCGGGGCCGCCAACCAAACAAACCGGGGGTCCTAACAAAACACCGATAAAAAAAAAACGATCAGGAGGGTTTCACGTGGTGGGGGGACTATGTGGGCCCGTTGCGGCAGCAGAAGCAACAACAAGTGTAGGTGCACTGGAAACGCATGCGCTGTGGAGACCTTGGAGGTTTGGTTGGGTGGAGGAACCCGGTGGGAGGGGGTGCGGGTGTGGGAGAGGTTCTAGCTGACGGTCAAAAACGATGAACGCTAGGTGGTTCGAAAATAGCGGGCCATCCCCATCTCCTCCTTTCTGCTTCGCTTCGCCGCAGTACATGCGACGCAGCGTTTGCGGGGAAGAGGGGCGCGGAGGGTTCAGCTCGACAGAGGGGGGCGACGGTGGGCATCTGAGAGAGTTTGGGGCGTTGGTAGGAAGAGGAGGAGAGCTCGACTCCGCGGTGTAAATATACCATTCACCCCGCGGGACTGCTGTGGCGACGACACGTGGAAGCGAGTGTGATGGAAGGAAAGACGACGGATGGCAAGCCGTCTCGTAGTATGCGTGGCGCACTTTTTTCAAGTGGATGGATACGTGTGTATGGCTGCTTTGCTTGCGGGGCTAGCCAGTGTTACGCATACACAGGAGCTTCAGTGACATGCGGTGTGGCAGACATGGAGACAAGAGGGCAACATGGTGACCACCATGCACTGCTTAGCGCCGACGTCATTCAATGCAGAAACCGGAGCGCGCGTAACCGCACAAGAACGCGCAGTCCATCTACGCACGCAGGGAATGGTGACGCAGTAGTTCATGGCGTTCTAATGTTCGTCAGTATCGTATCGCCACCGACAAATTTTGCGAGTTTGACATACTTAAAGAGAGCGAGAAGAATCGAATCAAGTAATGATGCACTGACTTTGCAAATGAATGACTCAGTGTCGCAAGCGGAAATGCTGGTGACCAACCAAAGTGTGAATGAAATATGTAAAGCGTCACTATATATGGAAGATTACATCGTTACGTTGCGGTAAAAAAACAAACTTATCATGGGCAACGCTGCACCTTTATCGCACACTTGCAGGAGCCACTGAGAGGATTAGTTATTTGTCATGCAACAGTCAACGACCGCGTTTGTCGGATTAGACAATAGCTTATCGTGATATACACAAAGTTACACCAGTGTCACACGGGCACGTTTTCACGATACAGGGCCGATTGTATTGGGCTCGATTTTGATCAGGTTCTGTTAGGGGTTACATTTAATCGCGATCAGAACCGATCGCGATTTGGCTGAAGTCTGCGGCAAACTCGATTCGGATTGAACTGGACCGTGTAGCAGCGACCAACTTGTTGAGCGTAATCAAGAAATCCGATCCGGATTTCTTTATTACGAACCGAGATCAAAAGTGCCTGTGTGTCACCGTTATAAAAGATCATACGCGATTACGTATCTAGTCTTGCCAGCACGGCTTAGGGTATTGTGATCGCCTGATGCCCAATCCATCAATAGCTACATTGAATTTCCTGCACTTTTTGAAATAACGTAGTACAATTCGCACCTTTTTTTACGGTATTTCTGTTCACGGATCGAATATCACTCTACGCAGTACACCAGCCTTCGCGCTGTACTTTTCTCGCACCATTTAGTTTTCCCACACCTTATTTGCCTAAGAGGCGTGGGGGCAAAATATGCCCCATACAATGACATAGAATGGGGGAAGCTGTGACGAACCTTTGACCCCCCCTCCTCCGATGGGCAACCTTTCACACGCTAATGATTGTAGATAACCTAATGGACATCAAGTGAAAGAAATTAATTGTCCAGGCAATGCGTAAAACAGACAAGGAGTGGACAGTAAGAGGTACAGAATGGTTGAGAAGAAATGGAAAAATTGGCCGCGGAAGACCCAGAGTTAAATGGAGCGGCACAATTGATCAGTTCGCAGGGATAAAATGGAATCAGCTTGCACAGGATATGGTGAACTGTAGATCATAAGGCGAGACCTTTCGTCCAGACGTGGAATAAGAGGCTGAGAAGCATGATGATGATGATGTGCAGCTGAGTCAGATTCTCAACTCCTTGTGCTGTACCGGAATATTGCGGCTCCTGCTCTGTGCCAGTGTGAAAAAAGACGTTGACGTTGAAGACGTTGCTGGACTTTCTGCCTGAAGCAGGTGGTTGTGGCTAACGCATCGTCAAGAATAATGAGTTTTCGTAGGCGAACTCCCTTGTTGCATTTGGTGGAGGTGCTACTAACGATCGAATACGAGTCGAAACGGTGCAGTCGCGGACGCCGCACACCTCCCATACTTATCGTCCATCAGTGACGCACGAACAACGATAATTGTTTGGGTTTAGTGAACCAAAACCACGATATAATTGTGAGGGACGCCATAGTGGAGGGCTCCGGAAATTTCGACCATCTATACCGCTCTCGTGCACCTAAATCTACCTGCAGTGGCCTTATTTGTTTTCGCTTCTATCGAAAATGCGGCCGCCGTGGCCGGGAATCGATCCCGCGACCGTCGGGCCAGCAGTCGAGCAGCTCAACTACTACACCGATGTACGAAAACCAGCAATGTACAAAAACACAGCCATGTACGAAAACACAGCAATGTACGAAAACCTCTGCTCGGATTCACGATATTTTCCGCTGGCAAAACTTGTATAAAGAAGAAAATACGGAAACGAATGTCGTTTACGATGGCGGTTGTACAATCAGAATTGTGGTCCTCGTTTTTTTGTTTGCGTTTCTTTTTCGCCGGCAGACCTCACAGCCGGCCTCCCTGTGCAACAAGAAGAAACGGGGTCTCTGAGTCAGCTAAATTTAGATGACGGAAGAGGTGTCTGGCGCGACCTCTCCTTTTGCCCTGCGATGATATCGGATCCCACGTGCGACGACGATGGTTTCGGGTGTTCGCAGAAAAATCCGTGAATACGCGTATTCGCATCAGCAGGAAAGCCCAGCAGACGAGCCGCACATCGGCAGATCTCCCAACAACTACAAAATAGCTGATAATTTCATACGCAACAGCCAGTAGATAATCCAAGGATCAACTGGCTCAGCTCGAAAAAAAAACTTCACCTATCAGGATTAAAATAAACGCAAAGTTCACGCCGGACCATTGAGATGTATGTGTGTAAACAGTTTCTCCCTTAGCTGAGATATTAGAAATAATATGACAACATACCCCTCGATTGATTGCGTAAGCCATTGAGGTAGCCAGCCCTCATCACAAGAGCAGCCGCGACTACATTGGGGTGGACACATCTGCAGCTTCAATTCAATTAACCCTCACCTCAGCTCGATGGCGCAATTGCAACAAAAAAGGAAGGTTTTCATTTTTTCGTCATTTGGTAAGCTTTCTTTGAAATAAATTTGCACGGATGTACTAGTATAAACTTTCTCTGTAAGTTCCGTGTACAAGTTCATAGAAAACGAGAAACAGAGCGACGCGCAGGAGCTGTTTTTTTTTTGTTTTCTACAAACATGTACGAAACAACAAAATGAACTCTAATTCGAGGTCAGAGCTGCTGGATGTCAATAATTCCGCTTTACAAAACTTTTCCACCTTTCTTCATTCCGCACAACTTATTTTCCATCATACAGAACAATGAATAAGGCAAGAAACAATAGCAACGTCGTCGCAAAAACGCCCTCGTGCGCTGCGTGAGCTATAATCATCCTCGATACCAGGAGTTGTCTGTTCTCTTTGTTAAGTGCCTTACTGTGGGGAGGTTGAGGTTTATATTGCCACTATATAGTACAAGTTCTGAAAGCATTATTTCCATAGATGCTGGCAGGCTTGTATGTGCCGCTGTTCAGAAGAGGACGAAGATGCGCTTGCAGAGAAAAACGATAAAGTCGTATTGCTGTTGTTCGAATCAGTTTGACGTCCTTATGGTGACTCATTATCTACAGGTTGCTGTTACGGTGTAACGTGACAATATCATCTAAGCCACTCCATTTCTGTCATGTCTGCAGCGAAAAAAAAAAAAGTGTTTACCCCCTCCCTTTCTCCCCCGTCCGTCCCTCCCCCCCAAAAAAACTGAACTAAAATCGTAGCAAAGTGAAAGAAAATGACAAATTACCATAGCTATGTACAGTTATCTTGCAGTTCACATTTCATAAAAGCGCACATACGCACACATTTTAGTTCTCTACATACGAACTAACCATCATTTCGTGTAAAGCAACGCGTAGCAAGCGCTTACCCACTCAGGCGTTCACTAAGAAGTCTTTTCAGCCGGACGGCAGCCTTTTTTCAGGAGATGCATTTAAGGCCACTGTCTAAGTGATTTTTGCAACGCGAATCTTCCTATAGTTTCTTTTATTTTTCACCTTCACTTGCGTACTTTGCGCACTCTGAAAGAATATGTCCTACACTCTCATTATCCGGACCGCAGTATATACCGTTTGATGAGCTAGATCGGTGGATCTTGTGCAGAAAGCTGTATATGCTTTTATTACCACGTGACTGCCCTATATCGTGCCGGCGACTGTGTCGACGAAGCGATGATTTCATCGCTTCCGAGCATCGCGGATTACTCGCAAGAAAAAAACCCGCGCGGAAGTGCGCGAAGGAGGGCAGCAGTAGTTGTTCACGCCTCACCTCTTCTTCCGTGCGACCCAAATTCAATGAAGCAGTACGTGTCGCCAAACGCTGATCTCGTAAGTTTGGATCTGTATTCGCTAATTTTTCTATGTCCCAGTTTATTTTGCATTAGTTTTGTTTTCTATGCCATATCGTATTGTGGTTTTGAGGCGTAAAATCCTAAACGTTAAAATGAAGTTTTCATAGCAAACCGCGGGGTCCTTTTACGCGCCCTGGGTGTGGGTGTGGTCTATGAGCTTATGAGAGAAGAAAACGCATAAGAGAGCCGGATACCAGGTTTACACTCGTACCAGGACGAACACGTACACAGCATCAAGAAAA